TGTGGTGCTGGGGGATTGAACCGCGGTCCCTGTGCTTTGTTGAGTTTGTTCTAAGTAGGTGCCTTAGACCACTGAGCCATCTCACCAGCCCCAAAACAGACTTTTAAAATGGTTACAAATTCAAAGTTTTTAAAAAGTAGGTTGTGGGGCCAGGGAGATGGCTCAGTAGAATAATCGCTTCCCTAGTAAGTGCAAGGACCTGAGTTCAATCCCCAGTTCCATAAAAAAAAAAAAAAAAAAAAAAAAAAAAAGTAGGTTGAGCCTAATTTAGTGGTACACACGTGTAATCCCAGCTCTCGAGAGGCTGAAGCAGGACTGCTGGGAGTTCGAGGCCAGTCGGGGCTACTCAGTGAGTTCAAGACCCACTGGAACTACATCTTGAGACTGTGTCTCAAACAAACCCCCAAAAACCAATGAAAAAGAAAAAAGTAGGCTGTGTTTTGGCTGTCATTATTTATCATGATAAAACTTAAAAGAATCCCGGTGTGGTAGCACACACCTGTGATCCCAGCACTGTGGGATGCTAAGGCAGGATTATGTATTTGAGCTAACCCTGTGTCACAATAAAAAATCCAAAGTTGTGAATATAGATAGCTCCATGTGAAGGCCCTGGGTTCAATGCCCAGAAGAAAGAAATAAGGCAAGGTGAGAAAAAAATGAGAGACCAGGCCTCGTGGTGCACGCCTGTAATCCCAGCACTGGGGAGGCTGAGGCAGGAGAATCGCTGAGAGTTCAAGCCCCCCCCCCCCGCATAGCGAAAGACTGCTTCTTCTTCCATCGAAAGACTGCTTTTTCTTCCATCCGGGGCAGCTGGAACTTGGCGGCGGTTAAGGGTGGCGTTCAGGCCACGCCCACCGCCTCTTTCACCACCCTTCTCCTGTCGCGTTTTTCCTGTCGCGCAGGCGCAGTGCCTCGTCCCGGCGGCGGGCCGCTCGCATCGAGTAGCGCCGGCGGCGATTGCTCCTGTCTGTTGTTTGGCTATGTTGCGGTGGGCGAGAGAGTCCCCGGACTGCCGGAAACCGGTTCGGGACTGCCGGAAACCGGTTCGGCGGCTCGCTCTCTGCTGACCGACCGGACCGAGGGGCTATGGGGGACCCCGGTTCTCCGGACTCCGGAGACCCCGCCGGAGTCAGGAGTTGGTGCCTGCGGCGGGTGGGGATGGACGCCGAGTGGCTGCTGCTGGAGGCCGGGTGCGAGGTAGGCGCGAGGCCCCGGGGAGGGCGAGGCCGCGGCGGGCGGCTGGCGTCGGACGGGCGGGCGTCGGGAGGAGAGGTCCGGGTGGGAGTGTCCGGCGAGGGAGAGCCGGGCTCGGCCGGCGGCCCTCCCGCGGGAAGATGGCTCCTCCGGCGGGGCGGGGAGCGCGGCGGGGCCGCCCAGGGGAGGTGGGGGCGCCCAGCCCGGGCGGGGAAACTGAGGCAGCCCCGCGTCGGCCCGCGCCGAGGATCTCAGAGGCGGAGGCGGCTTGAACTTTGTGCAGTTTCTTTTGAACGCTGAACGCTCGCGAACTTCAATGTCCAAGCGTCGCGTCCCTTTTCATCTCTTTGAGGACGGTGGGCGCCTTGGGGTGAAGCGCCCCGGTGAGTCTGGGGCCCGCCGGCGAGCATCCGGGAGTGGGGCAGAGGTGGCGATTCTGAGTGCTCCTCAGAGGCCCGTGTCGCGTCTGACCGTGCAGTGACGAGGAACAGAAACTTAACAGTGTAGGGACAGGTGGGGGGGGGGCTCCAAAACTGGGGCCAGCGTAGCGGGGACGGGGGTCGGGCACGCGCCTGTGGTGCTGACCGCTCGGCCTCGGCAATCGTTTGTGTGAAAAGTTCACCGTGCTGTAGTGTTGTTGAGTGGTTAGTTACCATGTTGCAAATGTTCACAGTGTTTTGATTATTATGTAGTTTTAGTTGGATTTTTCTTACCGTGGTCTTAGTGTACTCCCCCGGTTTGTACTGCCTACTTAAGTTGTTGGGTGTACTTATGGGAGAGACAAACAGTAACTCCTGCATTGAGAGTTTATGGCTTGAATGAGGAAAGAGAACTTACACAGTGCACCGGTTTGAGCCCATCCGAGTTGTGCTGAACGATCAAGTGCTAAGATGTGAGTTACTGAGTATTGTGGAGCAGTTGTTCCTCAGGTCTAGGGTAAATTCAGGTCCAGCTTTAAATGTTGCTAAATTAGATTCTGAAAGGCTACTTTTTTTTTTTTTCCATCGTGTAACTTATTTTAGTAATTTTACTTAATATGATACCTACTGTATTGTTACACTCCCACACAACACTTGTGGCAACTTAGTGACAGTTAACTTAGTCCTTTAGACTCTTGTGAATGAGCTTATTCTCCTGGGTAACTGGGGGACTCGGGCGTTTGGTTGGGAGGGAAGGCTGGTGAGAGATAATTAAAGCACCGTGTAGTAAGCAGAGGACTATACAGTACTCCTACATAGTTCTGAGTTATGTGATAGGTTTGCGTGAGGCCCCCTCTGGGAGAGACTCATACAAATGAAGTGGATGTAAAGACCTGCGGGGAAGGCAGTGGCTTGCCTTGGGGACTTGAGGAGAAGCCGGGGAGGCCTGGCTGTCTGCAAGCTCAGACCTAGGCAGTAGTTGGAGCACAGGCTGCAGTGTGTATGAGAGTGTGATTCAGAGCCCAGAGCAAGCCTTACCACAGTGATTCTCAGACCACACAGTCCTACTGGCTTTGCATAAGATTTTAGGAGGTGTGCTGAGAGCATTTAATTATGACACCAGTGTCAAGTCAATTCCCTGTGTTTCTTATTCCCTTTAAAGTTTCAGATTTTTTTTTTTTTTGGTGGAACCAGGGATTGAACTCAGTCATTTGCGCTTGCCAGGGAAGCACTTATTCCACTGAGCCATCTCCCTGGCCCCTAAAGTTTCAGATTTTGCAGATAAAACATTTCTTTTACTTCATGGAGGGGAATAGGATAGTAACCTGTCTGAATGGCTGTCTAAACTTCTTAAACATGGCCAGATAGTTTTGTATAAAGAACAAATAAGTAGAGCAAGTTAGCAGGTTCCCAGGCCCTGTAAGTGTCTAGGCTCTTTGGGAAAGCCATGCCTTCATTTTTGTCGTTACCTTGTCTCGCACAGCATTTGGTTTTCCTAAAGCTTTCTGCCCTGAAGGGAGAGGTACCCAGGAGGTCGGAGATGGCCTTAGTGAAGGTGCAGAAGGTGCCTCTGGATGGACAGTGTCAGTACTCAGAGGCTCAGGACTGTTGTGACTGGAAACAGCTCCTGACGTATGGCTCGGTGTGCGCCGCCATTCAGTTCCCATGGGAAATTGTTTTCTAGTGTGAGCAGTGCTGACGTTACCAGACAGCGGAGCACAGCACTCTAACTGTAGCGCAGTTGGAATGTCAGTAATATCAAGGTCCAGACAGGAGAAGGGTGAAGAAGAACATTTCCTTTTTTTCCTTCATTCAGGTCTATAGGAGGCCGTTCTAGTGAGTTCAAGGCATGCCTGGACTACGGAATAAACAAACCAAACTACCAAATTGCAAGTTCTTACTGATTATGGTTCTTACCACCACCCCCACCCCTGTGCTGGGGGTCTCATCCATGTTTGGCAGGATTCCTTTTGCAGGCTTACTAAGATGACAGGGACATAAACCCATGCCCTACAAGTTAGGGCCAAGTAACTGGCAGCACAGCTGCGAAAAGAGAAGACTCAGGACACATTTTGCAAGTGTGATGTAGAAGGGGGATTGAAGATTTCGGGTAGAATTAGGGCCTGAGAATGGGGAGAGATGCCAAGTTGGAGCCAGGAAAAAAGTCTATGGGCCTGCCTTCTAGAAAGGCTGTGGTCCTGGCCAGGGTTTACAGTGAGTTAATGAGGATGTATAGAAAGAACTCCTCCATCTCATCCAAAAAGTGAAAGAGCAGAAGGAGGGCAGAGATGTGAAAGAAGGCAGACTTATTAGAGAAGAGGACCACTTGAGGTGGTCATGGGGTAAGGATGACAGGCGTGTGTCCTGTGCACGCACAGGCACAGCAGAGGAGAGCAGAGCCCGCTGTTTGTATGCTAGTGTGCACTACAGTCATAAAAGTGGTCCTCCGTCTCAGGGTCCTAGAGCCAGCTGGCCTTTCAGGTCCTGACGGGCTTTGAGCCCAGGCTTAGCTCCTTGCAGCTTTCTCCTGTCACTGCTTACATTCTCCATGGCTTCTGTAGCAGCTGAAGAGGAGATGGCAAATGAACCCTTTGGATTCCACAGGAGTCTGATTTCATAAATTAGGTCCTTTGTATACTGACAGTTGTTCACATTGATTGTAGTGACCCTTATTTTCTTGACACAGTGATTGATTGCATCTTTTATATTGTTGTTTTCTTTCTAGGTGTCTATTGGACGAGGCTTTGGTGTCACATACCAACTGTTATCAAAAGTTTGCCCTCTGATGATTTCTCGAAACCACTGTGTTTTGAAGCAGAATCCTGAGGGCCAGTGGACAATTATGGACAACAAGGTATAGGAATTCACAAAAGCCTACATCTGTGGAATTTTTATTTTTAATTTTTTTTTTTCATGAATAGTTCATGGTGTAAAATTCACAAGTTTATCTTCTCCCCCGGCCACCTGGTTCTTTTTCCTAGATGGAACCATTCTGTAGGCCGGAGGTTTGGTGTTGCCCACATTTCTGATCACTTGGGGAAAGTTTGTTACCAGGAAGGAAGCATCTTAATTCAGGCCATTGGTCCTATTCCAAGATGTAGACTAAGGTTGTGGGGGGACTGGGCCTTTCAAGGTGAAGGCCCAGAGATGCTGACCATCAGCCCACACTCCTGGAGCACATCTGTGGCTCAGGACAGGGTAGGGTGGGAGAACGTGCGTGGAGCGCCCCTGCTTTTCATTCAGCAACCCCTTCCCTATTTTATTTTACTTTTGTTTTGAGGGAACTGACTTTTTGGAGATAGTATGATGGTTTTAGCAGAATAATTCTTAGAAGTAAAACTCTCCTCCTCCTGCTATTTTTAATTTATTTTCGGCTTAAGAGATGCTCTTTTATCCTGGCGTGATGCCATGGCAACCCTCTTCTGCTGATGAATTAGAGCTGCGAGATGTTATTGCTGTGGTTATGCTTAAAATCTTTTACCAAGTCTCTTTCAAGAGATAGATGTATTAGGGCCAGCCAAATAGCTCAGCGGATTAAAGCGCCTGCAAGCAGGTGCATGGGCTGGGGTTTGATCCCCAGGTCTGCCGTGCTGGCCCCGCACCCAGGGCGTGATTGAGATTGGGCGTGGTGGTGCCCTCTTGTAATCCCAGCACTTGGGAGGCTGTAAACAGAAGAATCACAAGTCTGATCTAGTAGTGAGACCTTGAATACTTTGTAGACCCTTCCCTAAAATACCAAAAAAAAAAAAAAATATTAAAAATACAAGAGATAGACGTAGTAAAATTACAAGAGATAGATGTATTGAAATTTTAGAGCTGTGTTCTCTTTTCATAAAACGATCTCTTTCATTTATTGGAATTGCCAAAAAGTGAATCTAAGTTTAGTAGAGAGATGGAAATAAATGCAGTTTTGGTGTAAAGTTGGCTTAAAACACATGCGCACTCGTTCACTCGCACCAGCTCGAGGACAGCGAATTCTCGCACAGAGCAGGAGACAGGCTTTCGTTGGCATGTGTGGGTTTTCCATCAGTTGGGGAGCTCTCAGGTGGTCCACCCTTTGTACTGGCAGTCAGAGATTTCGCTACGTCCTTCTTCCAGTAGCAATCTGAAACGCCTTCCTGGCTGAGCCGATCTTATCTGAGCCATTCCTGTTGTTCCTCTGAACCGGTTACCATTCACCTGCTGCATGGTGATTCTTGCCCTCTTCCTCCGGGCTGTGAGAGTGTACTCTGTAGGAGCAGACCTTGCTGCTCAGGATAACTTGGCTTCAGGCCTTCAGCGTGGTCCACCACCCTATCTCCTGTGTTTGCCATTACCTAGCATGCTCTTTAGAAGTCCTGATGATAGTATATAAACCTAAGAACTTCCCAATGCCTGTAATTCCAGCATTCAGAGAAGCTGAGGTAGGGAATCACAAATTCACGTCATGCCTGGGCAACTTAATGAAGCTCTATCTCAGAATACAAAATAAAAGTGAGGGCTGGGGAAATAGCTCAGTGGCTTAAGCGCCCTCCTGGCAAGAGCAAGGTCCATAGTTTGATCCCTGGTACTGCAAAATAAATAAATAAGAAAAGGACTGGGGCTGTAGCTCAGTGATAGAATGTCCCCAAGCTGAATCCCCAGTACTGCAAACAAAACAAAGCAAAACATGAAAAAATAAACTTCCATTCTTTATAAGACATCATTAAGAAAATGAAGAAGCAAATTCAGAGTAGAAGATGTTGCTAGATGTATATATGATTGATGAAGGGCCTATATTTACATATATACTGAACCCCAAATCAGTTTTTTTTTTTTTTTTTCCTTTTTTTTTGAGAAACTAGTTCAGCCTGGCCTTGAACTGACTAGCCCAGACTGGCCTTGAACTCAGTGATCCTCCTGCCTCAGCCTCCCAAGTGGTGCTGGGGTTACAGCTATGTGCCACCACTCCCAGCTTAAATCAAGTTTTTAGCAAAGATACAACCCAGTTCTCATATCAACTTGTACATGAATGTTGGGGTAGCTTTATTCGTATTTATTAGAAGTAAGGAAAAAACAGCTAGGGAATGGATAAATTTTGTTTTACCCAACATTCCGTATAACTCAGCAATAAAAAGCATTGGTGATACAGCAACATGCCTCTCAGCAGTATTATTCTTGTTTGTTTTTGTCTTTTTGAGACAGGGTCTCACTGTGTAGTTCAGGGTGGCCTTGAGCTTACGTTGTAGCCCATGCTGGCCTTGAACTCACATTGATCCTCCTGCTTCAGCCTCCCCAGCGCTGGGCATGCACCACTACACTTGGCTTCTGTGGTATTACGTAAAGGAGAGGAGCTGGATTGCAAGAGCCACCTCCCGTGTGACTCCACAGTGTTGCTTTCTGTCAAGGCCAGCCTGGCTTGGCTGGGAGGGGCAGCTATTGACTGCACAGGCCCAGAAGCTTGAAACCGTCACACAGTTGTGTATGCTTGTGCATAAGCCTGCATGTGCTTGTTGCAGTCTCAGGGTGAAACTCTGTAAGCCTTCCCAGGTGATTTGACTTTTCAGTCAGGGTTGAGAACTCTGAGCTACAAAAATCTCCTAAAAACTTCTAAGAAAACATTGAATTTGGGCTTTGGTGGTTCCTCTTCCTCAACAGCTGTTTTTTTTTTTTTTTTTTTTTCCCCTGAAATTGGGGATTTGAACATAGGCCCTTGTGCTTTGCCAGGCAAGTGTTTATCCTACTGAGCCATCTCTCCAGCCACTCAACAGCTGTTTTAAAATAATTGAGCAGAGATTGAGCATTAAGTTAAGTAAATAAAAGGCCCAGGGGTGTGGATTTTCCCCACACTTTTCTGCCATTGATGGCTCAGAGACTCTGGGCAGGGTTTTCATTGTGTGGTTATCATTTTGCTGCTCTTTGACATTATTCATGCTGTGAAAACCGACATCTGGAAGGCCTTGGAAAGAACAGGATCTATTTAACTATTTATGACAATGAACTCATTGCCATTGAGATTGTATCCTGGTCAGTATTGAGTTGTCCTTATACAGCCATAGGATTTGTGTTGTTTTCTCTCCCTGTTGAGTAGACGCAAAGCTGTGGTACAAATTATACCACTAGGTGTCACCAAGAAGTGATGAATAGCTAAACAAAGAGGGATGCAAGGGTAAATGATGTTGGGAAAAATTTGAGAGCTTATTTTGTAGACCAAAAGGCCTCTTTAGGAGGTGGGTTTATGAGGAGGATTGTGATGGGTCTTGAAAGTTTGCCCCTGTTTCTTTCTTAGGCATTGCTTAGTTCCTCTTGCCCAGGACTGCTTCTGGTGATCTTATTTATGTTACCTTACCTTTGCCTTTGGTACCTTTTCTTGGTTCTTATACATCGGTATTAGGTGACCTCCTGTGTCACATTACTTTGCCTGAGATCTTTTCCTGTACATAGTCTACAATACCTCTGTGCTAAAACTGTCCTCATGTAGATGGCTCTGCCTCTATCCTCCCCTATTACTTCCCTGTGCCTTGTTTCAGAGTCAGTGGAAGTGATGATGCGTCATAGTTTTTCAGGCCAAACAGAAAAAAATGGGAGAAGGTTGCTCGTTTGAGTCCTGTTAGGCTCAAGACAGTGGGCCCCAATCTTTCTGTATGTATAAATGTTTTTCAAACCAAATAAAAATAAGACCAGAAACAAAAGTTTAATACCAAATCAGAGCTGAGATCTAGTCTCTACCCACTCCCCTCTGTGCCTCTGGTCAAGCCATTTGTCCCTTGTGTTTGGGTTGACCAGGGATTTCTACCTATCTACCCACCCATCCATCCGTTTATCTGTCATTTATTGCGACTGAGAGTAGGTAGCTATAGTTATAAGTATAAACAGCAATTTTTCTCTTAGTGCTGAGGATCAAACCCAGGGCCTCACCCCTCGTGAAAGTGCTGAGATATTCTTTACCCCTAAAGGTAAGTCTTAGTTCACAAGGTTCATCTTTGGCTTACTCCCAAAATTAAGTTCTTACTGTTAGGTAAATGCCCAGTTCTGTTACCTAAGCCTGCATTTGCCTGTTGCAGTGCCTGTTGTCCCCATTTAGCATCCTTAGATAACTGCTTCGATGATTCTTTTTATTTATAGGCTGTGCCTTACAGAATACCACACTTATTTGTGCCCTTATGTGGTCTTTTCCATAATCAGCTGCTAAAAGTTGTTTTCGTATCTTTTACACATGATGTGTGCAAAAGATGCGGTGCAGATTGGGGAGATAGCTCAGTGGCATAAGCGCCTGTCTGGCATGCGCAAGGTCATGAGTTCAGTCCCTGGTACCAAAACAAAAACAAGAAGATGCAGTGCATGGAGCTGAAATGATTTGCTAAATCATTTGAGCCTGGACATAATAGTATTGAACGTTTATAAGATGACATGTGCCGAGCACTGTTCTAAGTGCATTACATATTATGTCATTAAAGTCACGCAAAAGGTCACAACGGAGAGACTATTAAAGGTGGCGTGACTGGGCCATAGAGAAATTCGCAGAAAGTCACACAGCTTTTAGTGACATGTTTTGTGTGAGTCACTGTGTTCCATGTTATGTGTGCACTTCCAGTTCATTCCTTACAGGAATACTGTCCCACTTATAGTCAAAGCCGAGGTATGGAGAGGTGAAACAAATCACTGAAGGACACGCAGTGAGAAAGTTGTTACATCTGGGCCGTGAGCTCCAGCTCTGAACGGTCAGTACTGATTGGGTCAGATGCCGCCTACAGTTTAACCTAGTTCCTGGTGTTGGGCTGTATGCCTCTGTCTCTGGGGCTCATGCATAGTGCAGGTGCTTTGCTTGCTTGTTCACTGTGTGGAAGGACCTCATTTAGAGACAGCGTCTGGGTGCCTTTCTGGGCCAGGCCTTTCCCCTGGACTTCACCATTACGTGCTGCCTCCTTTGTTAGCAACAGTTGTTCTGGCATTGCACCGTTGCCTCCAGTTTAGCTCAGTAGCAGCAATGAAGTCTCAGTTTCCTTTAATGTTATTGTCTGTGTTTGAGTGATTTGTCTCCCAGTAATAGATGATTTTGCCTGTAACAGAGGCAAGTCTCTGGCAGCGTGAAGGTAAGGTGTAGGTTAAAGCCACATCACTGTCGAAGAATACTGTTTCTAAGGGCGGTGGTGTATGAACCTTTCTTTTTCTAGTCTCAATGTTTTTCCTTCTGAAAAGGCAGAAGGTTTTGCAGCAGCAAGAGAGAAACTATTAAGAGGAAGAAAGTCAGGGTATGGGGGTGTACACCTATAATCTTGAAGCACTCTGTGAGTCTGAGGTAGGAAGAGTGAAAATTCAGACTCAGCCAGACCTTTTCCCAAGCCCCACTAAAGAATCCCTAAGCCCAGGCTTAGCTCCTTGCAGTTTTCTGCTGTTGCCATTAACATTCTCTGTGGTTCCTGTGGCAGCTGAAGGGGAGATGGCAGATGAACTTTTTGGATTCCATGGGAGTCTGATTTCATAAATTAGGTCCTTTTTGTACACTGTTGATTGTTCAGATTGAGTTGAAATCCTTAATATTGGGGGATGGGAGGACTGAGAGGAGCAGTAAGTAAAATTTACCTTGCCTTTCTTTCCCTTTCTCCAGAGTTTGAATGGTGTTTGGCTGAACAAAGAACGAATAGAACCATTGAAGTTTTATTTCATCCATAAGGGAGACCATGTCCAGCTTGGGGTGCCTTTGCAGAATAAGGAACATGCAGAGTATGAATATGAAGTTACTGAAGAAGAGTGGGAGAGGATGTTTCCTTATCTTGCCCCAAAGAGTAACCAGATGATGGAAAAAAATAAGAGCTTGAGAACTAAAAGGAAAAGTAGTACAGATGAAGTAGAAGGTCTTGGATGTGAAGGTCCCTCATGTTTAAAATCCAAAATAAGTAAAGTGTCTTGTGAACCTGAGCAGCCAGTGAAGTCACCTGGGAATGGCAGAGTAGCCAATCAGCCCTCTGAATACTTGGATCCTGGATTGGCTTCTCTCGAGGCAAATGAGAAGACCACCAGGGCTCGTACTTACCGTGGACCTCCAAAAGTCAAAAAGTTTCGTTTCAAGAAGCAGAAGGCCTCAGCAAAGCCTTCAGCATCTCAGAGCAGCTTAGAGCTGTTTAAGGTGACCATGTCCAGAATTGTGAAGCTCAAAAGACAGCTGCAAGAAAAACAAGTCGCTGTGATAAATGTGAAAAAGCAAACCCGGAAGGATAATGCAAAGAAAATTGTGAAGATGGAGCAGGAGCTGCAGGATCTACAGTCCCAGCTGTGCACAGAGCAGGCTCAGCAGCAGGCGAGAGTAGAGCAGCTGGAGAAGACTTTCCAGGAAGAAGAAAAGCACCTCCAGGTATACCTAGGAGGGAGCAAGCTAGGGGGGGTGTGTGTGTGTCTCTGTGTGTGTGTGTGGCAGTGGGGCGCTTTGTGAATTGTGGCCAGGACTGCCTCTTTCAGGACCAGGAACCACACTGGGATGCCAGGATAGGCTAAGGTGATTAGAAGAGCCGTGAGGGTGTAACTGGTATCAGGGCTTGGAGCTGAGGTGTCTCAGACCCCAGGAATATTCAGGAAGAAGTTGGATAAAGGGCAGGATGCCACAGAATCACAGCACATGCCTTTTAAGCCAGTAGTTGTCCTTATGACTTATCCATCTCTGCTCTGTGGTCAAAGCCAATCACTGAGCCCCAAAGCACATTCAGGTCATCTCGTCACTGTCCTTGTACCTGATTGTTAGCAGTGTGTGTTAACTGTGGCTCGCTTAAGAGGGAAAGACTAGAAGAATACAAACTTCCATTTTCTGTCCTGAGCAACCAGAATGCATAGGGACAGGCATGACTATATGTTGGGTTCAGAGATAAGCTACCTTCAGGAAGGTAAAATAACCGCTGTCTTAGTGGTGTCAGGTTGACAATGTGTTCCATCCCCAAGTCATTGCCTAGATGACAAGCTCTTGCACACAGCATTATGCTCAAGCTGATCCTGTCCCTGCTCCAAATGTCAGTTCTGGCAGAAACTGGCCATTCCTCCCCCCCGCAGTTGCTCAGGTGATGATGAATGTCAAGAATTCCCTGTTGTTGACTTAACACTAAGAAGGACCAATCAGAACTGAAGGGAATAAGCTTTCATCTTTTGCTTGGGTGGTTCAAGGCAAAGAATAGCCAGGAATAGCTGTGGTTTATTTGAGCAGTCTATACATTTCATCCTAATCTCTGCCATGCTGTTGAGTTGGTACTGTGAGCAGAGGCTGTGGGTTGCATAGCTCTTTAGGGGATGCGTGGTTGCTTGTGTATACCTGTCTGTTTTCTATAGCCAGCCTGTACTAGTTCTTCAGATTAATAATAGAGGGTGGTTTATGTCTGCGTATTTAGTGTGTCTCACCTTCACTGGAGCAGAACTATCTTTAAAGGACATTGCATTCATGAACAAGAGTGATTGCTAACTGATATGTGTGGCTACTCTGTGCTGCAAGAAATCCGCTTCTATAGCAGACTATCACGTGTCAGAAGGACTGGTTTAGAGAATTTCTTCAGGAAGTACATGAATTACTGAGTGAAGAAGTAAACTGGTTCTTTTTATGAGCCTAATCTGCCCATGTGACCCTAGGGATTTGTCTTGCTCTTGCTGTTTGTTCAGAAACTCATTTAATCTTTTTTTTTTCTTTCTTTGGTGTGGGTATGGTGGTACCTCTGTTACCTGACACCACAGAGTTTTGCTGGATGTGAAAACACTAAAGTGGTTTTTACTGTTCTGTAATTTATCTTATTGAGAAGACAAGATGTGTTGTGCTCACAATATAATGGGAGACCAGTTTTGAGTCAGTATGCAAAACTAAACAGTTTCAAGTTGGAGTGTCAAATGGGTGGGTAATTCTTATAGAAGCAAGAGCCATGAGGGTCTTATGGAAAGAACTGGGTATAGACTAATGATGATACCAGAGGGGCCCACAGAGGAAATGGAGCAGATGCTCAGCCCCAGAGAGAGGAGGATTTATAGGCTAAAAGCAGTATCGACTCAGAATGGAGAGACAGGGTGGCAGACTGAGGGAGGGAGAACTTGTGGGTGCCAGCGTGGAGGCCCATCTGAATGTAGTGAGATGTTTGGTGACTCAGCAGTTCTCTGTTTACATGCCCTTGCGTGTCATGGCATTAGTAATGAGGGGCTTGGACTGTCAGCCTGTGGATTTTCCAGAACCACCCAAGTAGTGGTTTGAACTACAGTCCTGAGTTACTGCCAACAGCTTGAAGGGAAAAGGGGGACCCACCACCTGTTCCCTTTTGCCTGTTGTTTCCAGATGTTCACACTAGCTGGCTTACTCTGCTTGTTGCTGCATTTTATTCCTTTTCCCTGAAAGTAAACCTTCCGTCTTGTTCTGGTTTTGCAGGGTTTGGAGAAAGAACAAGTAGAGGACCTGAAGCAACAGCTGGCCCAGGCTCTGCAGGAGGTAACATGTCTCTTGCCACTAAGTGGAGATGATGGTGGTTTGCAGGTAGCAAGCAGCCAGGCTTCACAGGGCTCCTTGCTGCTGCCTCTCTACATAGCCCATGCCTCTGCAGCATCTCCAGGCTGCACACCGAGCAGGTGGCAGCTGCTCGCACCATCAGGCTGGAGATTTGGAGCCTCACAGATACGTCAGATCACAGCGTGAAAACTTACGTCTTCATCTGAATAGCGCTTGCTCTGGTGGTGCTGGAGCAGAGCCTGTAGCAATTAAGGGAGGCTCTCTGGGGAAGCAGGTCTGTTTCCAGGAAGGTGAGGACCCGCGAGAGGAACGTGAGCTGTGGCCTGGCCAGCAGGGCCTTGAAAGCCTCCAAGCCTCAGCTCCCCAAGCCGTAGCCATCCAGAAATCATCTATGAGTGCTTCATTGGCTTTTCCAGTCAGGTTGCGGGTATATTCAAGCCAGCAAAACATATTAATTTAACAAAAGAGGAAGGCTCATGGAAATCAAGTTCCTCTGAAAGACTTGTGATGTATTTTGTATAACGGCTTGTTTGATGATTTTTCCTTTCTTGTCCTGTCCTATCCTAACCTTACCTGTTTCTCCCCTCGCCTTCCTTCCTTCTTTCCTTTTTAAACTTTGCAGTACTGGGGATTAATCCCAGGATTATTGCACTGCCCTACATCCCCATTCCCAGCTGTCTCTCTTTCTCTCTCTTTTTGTTTTGTTTTGTTTTGTGGTACCAGGGATTGAGGACCTTGCACTCGCCAGGCAGGTGCTTATGAGTGTGCCCCCCCCCCACTTTTTTAAAAGTTTTTCCTTTGAGACAAGGTCTCACCAATTCTTGAATATTTAATGCTTCTGCCTCAGCCTCCCAGAGTGCTGGGATTTCAGGAGTGTGCCACTTTGTTCAGTTTCTAGAATATTTCATTGTTGCTTTTGCATCTTTAAAGCCTGCTTTTTTTCTGTCTTTTATGTGTTATGATTAGTAGAGTGATGCAGGTTTGCTCAGGTCACTGAGGATAGCTCCAATCTCCCTGAGAAAAGTGAACATACTGCATTAGGATATATTTGGGCGAGGTTGATTGTGGGCATACGTGGCCTGTACTCAGCTACTTAGGAACATGAGTCAGGAGGAGCGTAAGTCTGGGACAAGCCTGGACAACTTAATGAATCCCAAAATACAGTTTTAAAAAGGGCAGAGCAGGGCTGGTGAGATGGCTCAGTGGTCTGGGGCACCTACTTAGAACAAGCTTAGCAAAGCGCAGGGACCATGGTTCAATCCCCCAGTACCACATGCCAGCCCCGCCCCCTGGTGTGCTGAGCTGGCCACACACACACACACACAAATAAATAAAATTTAAAAAAATTAAAAAAAAAAAAGGGCTGAGCATATAGCTTACTGGTAGTGTCTATGGGTTCAGTCCCCAGTGCCACAGTAAATGAATGAGCGAATGAATGAATATGAATGGATGGATGGGCTGGTGGTGTAGTTCAGGGGTAAGGGCTTGCCTGGTATGTGTGTGTGGCCCGAGGTGTAGCCCTCAGTACTGCAAGAAAAGTGGAGTAGGATGTGTTCAGGAGAAACATTCATTATATATGTGTCTCAGCTTATAGGGAGCTTGTTTTGATTTCATTGGCTTTAGGTGATAATTCAATCTTTTTTTTTTTTTTTTTTGCGGAACTGGGAATAATTCAATCTTTTTAGAATTTTATTTTCTGAGTTTATATGGCTGGGAGAGTAGGCATATTCCCCATTTGGAGCTTTTTTTTTTTGGCGGAACCGAGTATTGAACTCGGGCCCTTGTCAGGCAAGCGCTTATTCTACTGAGCCATCTCCCCGGCCCCTGGAGCATTTTAAATTAATATTTTTATATTAATTGACTGGAAAAGGAAAAGTTTTGTGCCTTGGAAATCTCTGATGAAAGGTCGAATTTCCTACACCCCAGCACCTTACCCTGCTAAGATAGAAGGACATACTATCATTTAGTGTAGGCCACCCACACATCCAAAATAAGATGCTTTTAGGCCTTGTTTCTGTACCATGCTGCCTGTGGGACATGCCTTTCAGCTGAAGCAACGGTGGACTTTCAGTGGTTTGGTTTGGTTTGGCTTGGTTTGCTTTCTGCAGCACTGGGGATTGAATTCAGGTGTGCTCTGCCACTGAGCTACATCCACAAGTCTTGTTTTTTATTTTGAGACAGGGTCTCACTAAATGGCCCATGCTGACTTTAGATCCTCCTTCCTTAACTTCCCGTGTAGCAAGAATTATAGGCATGACTCTCTGCACCTGCTGCAGTGGTAACTTTTTGTTACACTATGCTGGTCTCTCTGAAGTTCTTTCCCCACTTGATATAGCAGTTGCACCAACATAGAACTTTAAAAACATTTCTGAATGGTTTTCATAACAGTTGTTAGCATTCCAAGGTTGGGGAAGGCACCTGTTTTCTCATTTTGGAGATGAGAGAGTTAAGGCCCATACATCTAGTGCACACACAGGTGAAAACCCAAGCTTTCTGGTGTATTTTCTCTTTTCAGCAGACCACACATTTTAAATTTGGGTTCTTGAGTAATGGCTTTTCAGAAAAACTTACTGTACTCTGCCTTCTCTTATAAAGGACTTTAAAGATTTTATATATAAGCTATGTGTAGACATGAAGAAATTCATAAATTATGTTTTCCTTTTTTCTCCAGTATTGGGAATTGAACCCAGGGCCTTCCACTGGAGCTACATCCTCAGCCCTTTGTGTTCATTCTGGGACAGGGTCTGGCTGAATGGCTACGCTACTCAGACTGAGCTTGAGCTGTGGATCCTTCTGTCCCAGCTTCCCAGTGCTAGGACTGTGGTGCGCAGCACACCCGGTCTGTTTTCCTTTTCTGTTATCTTGTTTTGTGATGCTGGGGAACAAGCCCAGGTTTCTGGGCACTGTACGCGAGCTCCCTGCTGCTAAGCTGTTCCCAGCCTGCAGTGTGCTCAACAGACACAGACCCCCTTGGTGTGCATCCTGTGCGGTGTGAGCCACCATCAGTGAGCTCTGGACACACCTGCCCACAGGAGACATGCACGGTTGAGACAGTGCTGCTATCAGTGTGTAGTGTAAATAGGTCAAGATCTTTTCAATGACAATGTCTACTTTTCTTGAATCCCATTTCCCCTTGCTTGTTTCTTAAAAGCTGCTCGCAGTGAGAGTGGCCTTATAGCTACTTACTAATTCTAATGCACTGCTTCCCAGAGTCACTTAGGTAGCTGGTTTTGTGTGTGCCTGTGCGCATGTACCTGTGTGTGGTTGGGGACTGAACCCATGACTTCGCTTGCGTGAGATGGGTACTGTGGCCCCGAGCCTCATCTATAATGCACACTCCAGCCCCCAAGTGTTCAGAGTCAGACTCTGGAAGTCAGTGAAAGTTGTTGAGTTGACTTGCTTGACCACAAAGATGGAGTGGATTTCAGAGGGACCCAGGGTTGCACAGTGTTCCTCCCTATCTCTATTTCCATGAAGAAAGCGGCAGGAGGAGGGGTGTCCTGAATGAAAGGAGGCTTTATTTTGAAATTGTTTACTCATTGATCCCAGACCTACAGTCGCTGGGTGAGGGCAGGCATGTGTGACTGAGCAGAAGCTGCCATGCAGCCCGTGCTGAGTGTGTCTGTGTTATTTCTGCAGCACCAGGCCCTAATGGAAGAGCTAAACCGCAGTAGGAAGGACTTTGAAACAATCATCCAAGAGAAGAACAAAGAGCTGGAGCAGACCAAGGTACTAGAAAGAAGATGGAGGTTTAGACTTTGGTTAGTACGTGTAACTCAGCACCTTCTACAGTACAGGGTTGCCATGGTGAATGAAGACTGGCTGCTTGCTACCTCAGGGGAAATAACCTGTACAGTGATTCAGTGCAGAAGATTCTGCCTGCGAGCAGCATCTATTTCCCGTCTTGTTCAGACTCTTGAGTGCTGGAGCAAGGCACCTGCGCCCTGTCGGGCCTTCTGTCTGTGCTGGTGCCCCCTCAGACTCACTGATGCAGACTAAGGAGCCCTATAGCTGGATTAGATGTATTTCATCTGGTGTGCTTATGTCATTCTCTCCCCTTCACCCTATGAGAACCCTCATGAACACAACTCCTGCTGGCCACAGACCAGGAATGAGAGGGGAGTGAAGGGATCAGTGGAGCTGCTTCTCTGCAGGGTCAGAAAGTGGGCTGGTACTGCCAGGGCTTGGTGCTTTTCCATAGCAGATGGAAATCCTGATGTCAGTGTAGGCTACCTTAGTTTTGAAATATTGACAAGCTCATTTAAAAAAAATTAAGTATTACATTGAAAAATCCATGCATTTTGCGAGGGCAGCGTGTGATGATTCAACACATGTATTAAGTACAATTTTTATATTCATTTTTTTATATCATGAAGGCCAAGCTAAATAAGTCTGCATGCTGGATACAGGCCATAGGTTAGCAGCTCATAAGCTGTGTCCTGAAAATAAAGACCTGAGTCCGCCAGGTCTGCTTCTCTCATCCCAGCCTACACCCCACCGAGCCCTGCAGCTAAATACAGAGAGTTAAGTCATATGGTACCTTCTTCCCCAGTCTCCAAAAAAGTTTTTCTTTCTGGTGTTGGGAATCAAACCCAAAGCCTTCATGCATACTAAGCGTGAGCTCTACCACTGGGCTAATCTCCAGAACCTATTGCATCTTTTTAAAGCCAGAAACTCTCAGAACCATAAGTTTTCAGGGAACTTCACCCTACTATAGAAATGAGTCCTGGGCCAGGATGTAGTTAGCAATATAGTGCATGCTGGGCAAACATGAAGTCCTGAGCATGATTCCTGGTACCCTCCCCCCCCACACAGAGAAATTCTTCTGACTCTCTACTCCCTGACAGTCATTGATTGAAGAGAAATGAACCAGCCACTTGAATGTAACCTAAGAAGTCATATCCTGTCCTGTTCAGAGGTTCTTGTTGCTCTTCTTGAGGATAGGACACTTAATGCTTCAGAGGAGCAGAACTAAAAGCCAAGCATGACACTGCACACCCGTAATCCCAGCACTGAGGAAGCTGAGGCAAAATTATAAAGTCAAGGCAAGACTGGGCTACGCAGTACATGGTCTCTACATAGCGAGACCTTGTCTCAAACAAACAAACTAAATCAAGAAACAAAATAACAGCAAAAAAGAACAGCCCCTGATATCCTCCCTGAAAAGAACAACTAGAGGGAAAGCACAGGAATGGGAGTGTAGGGGTGGGCGAGGGAGCTGGCTCCAGCTGCCTGCCTCCAGGCGTGTGGACACTGGATGCAAGAGGCATTACAGCACTAGCCAGTTCAGGCTTTTGCCCTCTGTAGACTACACACTGTTCTGCCTTCTGCAGGGAGGTTTTAGTTGGTTTTGTTTTTGTTTTTGATACCAGAAACTGAACTCAGGTCAATGCACTTCCAGGCAGACACTATATCACTGAGCTATATCCCTGGCCTGGTTTTAGTAGTTTGAGAGGGTTTGATATTACCTCTGAGCTGCTGAGTGCTGTGGAATACTTTAGTAACCTACCTTCATTTCTTTTCCATTTGGTTAATTTTGGGAAGGAGACAAACTACAGTGCAGATTCTGGAAAAATAGTGTCTTAGTCCATTTAGGATGTTATAATGAAATGGTGCTGGCAGGTTGGTGTCTGGCCCACAGGTGCTGCTTCCTCGCCCACAGGGTGTGTGTCCCCAAAGAGTGGGAGAGGGAACCAGCTCCTTGGCCTCTTTTCTAAGCCCACTGATCCCTTTCTGCCAGCCCCTCATCACCTCCCAGAATCTCCCTCCTTAATACCATCACATCGTGCTTAGGTTTCAGCCTAAGTTGTGAGGCCCAAGGAACGTGGAGGGAGGAAAGAAAGGAACTTAGTTTTATGTCAAAATAAAAAGTAGAAAAAAATAAATAAATAAAAAGTAGGTGATAGGGAGTGGAGAGAGGGATCGTTTTCACATGGGAAGGGGATCAAGAGATGGAGGAAGACAGAAAGGGGATGAACCAGAGAACTGAGATGGGTAACATGCATGCACAACTCCACACAACGTCATCATACAATGTGAACATGTGCTAATAAAAACTAAAGGAAAATAAAAGAAGCTATTGTTCTGTATTAGAAAGAAATTCTTTTACTTTTGGGGTTTTTTGTTAATGTGGGTTTTTTTTTGTTTTGTTTTGGTTTGGTTTTTTTTGAGATAGTCTTGCTGTATAGTTCAAGCTGGCCTTGAACTCGTGTCATCCAGGTTGGCCTCTAGTTTACAGCAATCCTGCTGCTTTAGCCTTGTGTGCTGGGATTTGTGCTACCATTGCCGGCTTTTTTTTTTCTTACTCTTTGTTTGAGGCAAAGTCTTACCACGTATAGTCAGGCTGCTAGCCAGGGCTGGCCTTGAATTCTGTCTTCCTGGCTCCGCAGGGATTGTGGGGATGTGCCACCAGGCCTAAAAAGCAGTAATCATTGGGAAAGTATTTTATCTTCCTGTCGCTACACCAGAAAGGATATTAAGTTAGACTCCTCTGCAAACGATTTCTAGACAGCCTCACTTTCTGTGCTGGTGTGCGTGCCTGGTTGCCTTCTCGAGTGACAGGTGCTATGTGTCTTTTCAGGAAGAAAAGGAGAAGGTGCAAGCGCAGAAGGAAGAGGTTCTGAGCCACATGAGCGATGTGCTGGAGAATGAGCTCCAGTGCATTATCTGCTCGGAATACTTCATCGAGGTAATTGTGAGCGGGCCTGCGTGCCAGGGAGCTCTCCAGCTGTGTTGCTGAAGAGAAACATCTGGAAGACCTCCGTCCTGCAGGAGCTTATTTTGGCTACTTGATGTTCAAGTTACTCCAAACTCTACTGGCCCCTCATTAGGTTATGGAGTTCTTTCCTTCTACTGTGCTTTTTTCTTACATGTCCCTGTATATTGGTGTGGTACAATTGACATTTTAGCTATAATAAAGCCTTTATCTGTCTTTAGAGGGAGGGAAAAAATTGTGGCCATAGAGCATTAAATTGTGAAGTATCAGGCAGAATCTGCTCCTGTAGCTTTTCTGTCTTACTATGAGTGAACATAATGCTTCGAGTGGGCTTTCAGGGACAGGCAGGGTGGTGCATGTGTGTGGTCACTTTGAGAGTTCAGGGGCCTGGTTTAATGCATATCACAGCCTCTGAGGCTTCTCCTGAAAATGAAACATTTCTCTCCTAGGCTGCTATTCATTACCTTGTCGTATTTTTCCTACCAACTATTTAGTTTTCGTAAATTTCTACCATTTGTGACCAGTTTGTCTTACCTACAAGTGTTAAGCTGAGGTTGGGGCTGACAGTTCTTAGACTCCTTTATAAAGGAAAACACACTCTCCTTCTTCTCAGGTGGGCTTTAGGGAGGCTGTGTGTCTTTGAGTCTTGAAAGGCTCTCCTGCCGTTCTGGGCACACCTGCTTCTTTTGCTCTGAATCTACTTCTACTAGGTCCCAGTTTCTCCAGCACATCTAGTTACGAAACCCATACTTGAGGAAGCTCAGTGATGTTCCAACAGGGCTTCTAGAGGGCACTGGCAGGGGAAGATGAGAGTGTGGCCCACTAACGCCTCAGTGTCTGCACAACTCCCTCTGTGGTGTTCGTTGTGCTGCCACGATCGTTCTGCTGGTCAGCTCCTCAAAGGTCACCTGTCCTGAAAGCAGGAATGAGGACTTGTGAGCCTCACAAGAACTTATACCTTAAAAGATGCACATGGACCAGCCAAATAGCTCAGCAATTAAAGCCTCCGCTTAGGCAGACACAGTGGCCAGGGTTCATCCCTGGCGTGCTGTCCCTGACCCCCCAGGGTGCGCTGAGACAGGCGATTGAGACTGGGTGTGGTGCCGTGTGCCTGTAATCCCAGCTCTTGGAAGGCTTAACACAAAAGAATCACTACGGAGTCCAAT